AGGTTAGGTTTTTAGGTAATTCAGAAAATAACTTAGTAGAGCTGTGTATCATACTTGACTTAGTAGGTGTGTAAAAAAAAAAAAAAAAAAAAAGGGGTAGTGGGGGGGGGGGGTGGTGGGTGGGTTAGGGGATTTCAAACCCGAAGAATAGTGTATCTTTGCAACACAAAATCAAAACCATTCCTTTTCAAATGTCCACAAATCCACCATTTTTGCTCCTTTTTTAGAGCCTCAAATTCCATAATCAGAGGTAGAAATGGATTTTCAGGCCATTATCAGGGTTTCTGGCTTCAAAAATGCATTTTCTAGAGGTTTTTGTTTTTTGGGTCACAGCTTCACTTTTTATCAATTCCGAAACAACTTTCTCCAATTAGATTGAACTAATAGTCATTTTGCTTTTGTTTATGAGGTCATATATTTGAGCTTTTAAAATCCATAATATTTTAGTAATTTTATTAGGATGACCTTAATAAGAGGAGCCTTTTAAAGAATGAATTTGAGATCTCATGTATTCCATTACTCATTGTCTTCTTTCATGTGTTCGGTGATTTTTCTATTCTGAACATAAATTAATTTACATTTTCTTTTGATGCTTAATGCATTTAATACATGTGCAAAGCACATGCATTCAAATAGTATTTCTAAAGTGAGCTACGCCAGAAATGAATCAAGTCAAAAGATATGAAAATAATGTAGTAAATCACCCCATAGAAAGTACACAAAAATTTTCTGAATCTGTAAATAATATCCAATGGGGAAGAGATGTATAGAATAATTCAATCTATTTTTTCAGAAAGTTAACCTAGAATAATTCAATCTTAGAATTGCGAGCTGTTATAAATAATGCATCTCTTACCTGCTGATTGTGGAGGCGATTTTCATGTTCGAGCTCATCAATCTCTTCCTGTCAGGTTTAAATATGAGAAGAAACGTACACAATATGTGTCTTTGCTTCTCTCCAACAACTGTGTTCCTTTGTGTGTGTGTGTGTGCATGTTCGTGGGGGTTTGTGTTTGGGGGGGTGGGGGACTTGAAATATCAAAAGAAAGGGAGTTACTTGAAGTGCTAAGATGTGGCGTTGACATTGTGCAAGCTCCTCCTCTCTGTGAGCTTGTTGCCGAGCCAAAATCTGAAATTCAGAATATTAATAGGATAGCTTTTTGATAGTAGAGATGTTTTGAACTAGTTTCCTTGGAATATGAAAATTTTCAAATGTCTTGATGCTCAACATGCAAGAGAACCTTCAAAAACAGATAACAAAAATCCGAACGACCAAATCGTGTCAAGCATTTAGTACTTTGTCCAGTACTTGAAATTTTACGCTAAAAGGGAGAACTCATTTTAAAAGAAGAGTAACCACTCATTGATCTGCATTTTCAGCCAAGCCCAATGCTGATAAAGGAATTGGAAGAGGAATAAAAAAAAAACTGAATATAGAGAACTAAAAATTCTTAAGCATAAAGTGACACCAGATTAAAATCGTCAAGCAAGATAATGACAAAAGATCCGTACCAGAATTTGTTGTTCTGCAGTTGATGTAGTAGAAACTTGAACGTCCTGCTTCAATGAATCTAGAATATACCCGTTAAATAAGAACGATTGTTGAAATCTAGATTGCATAAATGATTCTGTCAAAGGATAATGAAGTATGCTAACTTATATCATACAACAAGACTGTAAGAAAGCTCCTCCATACCTATGTTTCTATGGTTGTCCTTGTACTGTACCTGAAACAATCAGGAGGTTATTTAATTGCTAAACACTATATAAATATAAGAAAGTTGAGAACTTTTTCTTGTCACCAAGCACTTACATTGCTAAAAATTATAATTGTTGATGTTTGGAGATCAAGATCTCCAATTAAATATTACGTGCTACATGTAGATGCGTATTGAGTCATATGCTGCGTTAGTAATAAATGCAACAGAAATTCCAAAATTCTCATATTTTAAGAACTTCAAGCCATACTTCAGCTTGACTACAACATTAGTATTTGCATTCAAATTAATGGGGGAATACCCTTCACAAGTTTGAAATTAGAAGTTTACTGAATGGAAACTAGTAATAAAAAATTTAATGAACGTTTATACAAGTGTACACAAACCACTAAGTTCAATAACTTCACAGAGATTGGCTTAGCTAAAATTAAAAATAGTGAAGGAATTTCTCTCATTCAGATAGTAATATAGAAATCACACGATCTGGTTTACTAACCAAACATTTACATAGAAGGATAAAATTATTAGGAAGATATGGTTCACTTAGTTTCCTGTATTCCATAGATATTTTCCCCATCAAAATAGAAGCACTCAGGGCAATGGAGCCAATACGGATAGCTCTTCAATATAGAGCATTTTCTTCAACTCTAAGTAGTAAGGAAGGATGTTTCAATGTGTGAGCTTCCATGAGAGACAAATCCAAGGGATTGTGCTTTTAAAGGAAGTATTTCATTCTCGAAATGTTTTCTCTTTTTAGAAAAAGTTGATTGTATATTGATAAAGATCTATATGGTGGCGAAAAATCACCAGCTTTGCAAAATGGGCCACCAGGCTGCAAACAGAACATGTACAAAATGCTTCGCAAAAGGTCCTAATCAGGACTGAGAACCAGATACCTAGAAACTAGTGATTGCTGTTCAGTTATTTGCCAGTGTATCTGTGACATGGCTTACACATGCAAAACATGCTCAAACGTGATCTGTAGGAAGTTAGAAATCTCCAAGACATGGGTTGGAAATTTGTTCTGGATAACAAGAGCAAGGGTACTGCTTAAAGGCCCATCTGATGACATTGATGGAACAGCCTCTACTTTGAGGGCAGAACCCAAATTGAGGTCAAACAACAGATGGCCTTCCAGCAGCAACCTATCATCTATCATATTTGAGTTAGCCATATCAATGGACCCCAAAAAGGACAGTAGTTGTATCAATGAACCCCAAACAGGACAGTAGTCTTAAGATCTAATTCTAGCGACATCACACATGCCCTGCTGCCCCGAATTACCAAGGGAGCACCTGTTTGAGCTCAATGAATCCCTTGATTGGAGGTGGTCACAGGTGTAATCTAGCAATCACCATGAGCCAAGCCTTTAGAATGTGACTCCAGTTTTAGGAAAAAACTGAGGACAAGCCAAGGAATTTCTGGCCCAAAACATGGCTCTAGGTTTGCCCTTTTCAATTAAGGGCCCCTACTGTTCTTTCTTTCTCTCAAATATTCCGGAGTTCCTCCCCCAGCTATATTGACAACAACATGGCCGGTAAAGTTGCTTATCAGAGATGAGACTGGCAGCTGGGAATGGTGGAGAATGGTAACCCCACTAATTGCTGTATACTCTCAGGCCCCACCCATTCCCAATGAAAGGCACACCCAAATCTAAGCAGAGACAAGGAAATGGAGAAATAGGTGGTCAATGGATTCTTCCTCTTTCTTACACATAATGCAGCAATTGGGCAGTGGTACCCCTATCCTTTGGATTTTGTTGATGGTTAGGTGCCTTTCTTAGAGAGGACCAGCCAGTTAAAGACCTGTGTTTGGGGGAATAGAAGTGTACCAAGCTTTGCAATCTATGACACGCACACAGTTGGATGGGTTTAGGGTGCTGTGCATGGATTAGACTGAAACACTACCAGATGGGGAAGGGGACCAAACCATTTTAATTGCTGCTCCTCCAAGGTGCACACCATTTTTTTTAGGCTGTCAAAAAAGGCTGACAAAGCTTGGATCTCCGAGTCAAATAGATACTTCCTAAAAGTTGGGGACCACACATTGACCCGCACGAACTTCTCATCCAAGCACTTCAATACCCTACAAAATCTGGGCATTCTGAATTCTGATAGTTAACTTGATTTCTCTCCTCTCATACTTGGTTACATTGGCATTACTGATTCAGCCATGGTGGAAGCGACTTTTTGGAAGCCATCAAGAAATTAAACCATGATTGGGGGGACTTCTTGGTTGTAGAAGGAGATTCTAAATCTGTTATCTCCTGGGTAGAGGACTTCGATCTGCCCCTGGCATTTAGAGAACATCTTCAAGCAAATTTCCTTCCTTAGAAGGCATATCTGCATCTCCTTTTGACACACATGGCATAAGACCAACTTTGGAGTCGACACATTGGCAAAAGCATTTGCTTCTGGACAGATCGCAGGAACGGTCACAGCAACTTTTTGAGCTTGGTACCACCTTTTTGGCATGTTGGTTTTAGCCCAGTGCTCTTCCTGAGCACCATTTTTTGTATAAGTTTCTCAAAAGTTGGGCCCGTTAGTAGGCACCAATCCCTGCGTTGCAGTTTTTATAAAGTAATACAAGCTTATCATCAATTTTTCCAAAAAATAAAAATAAATAATAAAACAAAAACCAAAAAACAAAAAGTTCGGCAACTGAAATACCAGAGTAGAATTCCCATTCCATAGGTCTCGCCATAGCCGGATCCTGCCCCCTGATTTCAGAAAAAAATGTGTTCTTGAGGTAAAGTCCCTAGGGATTGAGGAAATCCCCATCCATGCACTAGCCACTGCGCCACTCGTAGTTGCCTTGGGAAGCCAACCCAAATCCTCTAAGCCGTACTTTCCTTTGATAACTTGCTGCCAAGGGACCATTTTGGGTAGCAAACCACCACCACCACCATCATTTGCACAGAAGGACAGCATTACAATCTTCGACATATTCCGAATTTCTATGAAACCTTCCTAGGTTTCCACCCTTGATCCCGGCTGTCTAAGTGGAATCTATGCAACCTCCCTAAGCGTAAACAAAGGAAGTTTTTCATGAAACTTGTAATTGCTTAAGGATGAACATGGGCATCTTAAAAGGCAACATGTGAAAGACTGGATATTGGACAGGGTGGCCTTTATGAGTGCGATCCTGCCCCCGAGGCCAGGAACCTTGCTATCCAATCTGTCAACCTCCTCTCAGACATCTCTATCCCATTTTGTTTTCTGGGTTTACATAAGAAAGTGGCAGTCCGAGGTCCTTATTGGGCAGAGGTTCCATTCATATCCCATTCTCCTATCCTCGGCCAGTTCAGGCACACTCCCATCATTTTAGACTTCAAAACTTTATGTTCAGGTCGGTAGACAGCTCAAAATGTCAGAAGGAATAACCAAAGAGAATCCACTTGCTGAGGCACTACATTCCAAAGCACAAGGGTGTCATCGGCATTCTGCAAATGGAAGTCTACCCAGGTCCCTAAGCAAGACGAAAAACCACGCGATAGATTCTTTTTTTACAAAAAATTGTTAACTGTTCTATTGATAAGATGGGGTTACAGGAGAGCCTAGAGATCACCCACAAGCAGGAGCTTTAGCCAAAAATAGGCCTACCACCGAATGGCAGCCCCATACAAAAAATGGGGTTACATTATAAAAGTTAACCCAGGCATTACAAACAAAAGTATTTAGGTACAAAAAATAAAGACTCAAAAGGTCAGGTGACACTGGTGTGAGCTCCATCCTGAGCGAGGTGGTCCGCCAGGGCGTTGGATTCCCACCAGAAAAACCACACAATAGATTGTGATTGTATAAATTGAATACGGCTAACTGAAATTATCTCCAACTATAGAAAAGAGATATGGGAGAAAAATGGCTCCTCGGTTATGGTCCAACTTTGAGGGAAAAGAAACCTTTAGGGTAGGCGTTGACGAGCACTGAGAAGTATGGAGACCCGGCATGCTGAGATTGGATTCCTCAATTTTACACCAAAAAACCATTCGATACAATACCTGATTCAGAATGTCACTCCATATTGTCATACGCTTTCTCCTGGACTAACTTTAAAAATGAGGCCAGCAATATTTGCTTGGTTATGGATACACTAGTGGGCTATCAATGCCCCACCAAAATTTTACTATCCTTCACAGAAGCACCCTGGATTGGGTACATGATAAACGTGGGAACTTTCTCAGTCTAGAAGTTATAACTTCTAACAAAATCTGGCGGATACTATTTAGAAGACTTATGAGTCTAAAATCCTTCAACTCATTAGCCCCTTAGAACTTTGGACTAAGGCAACACAAGTAGGCATTCAAACCTTGATGTATACTCTCCCTAATGTAGAACTCTAGAGCAATGTTTGAAAAATCGCCGAACCGATCCGGAATCAGGCGATCCGGATCGGGTATCGGTGATATCGCACCAGATCGGGTATCGGTGCTATAGGGCGGTTCCATTTCTTTTTTATTTTTTTTAATTGAGATCGGGTTTTCTTTTCACCGTTAGAGGCATCGTTACACGTGGCAAACCTAACCTCGCTTTTAATGCATCGTCCTCGCTTTTAATGCATGGTTACACACGTCGCTTTTAATGCATGGTTACATGTGAACGAAACTAACCTCGCTTACTTTTTCATGTCTGCCATCTTCTAAGCCTCAGTGGTCCTGGCCCCCTATGCATAACATTTCAACTGCCGTCCTTGTGCGATGTCTTTTATGCGGTGTAGTGCTCCCTCATCTTTTCGATGTGGGGCCAATGCTTTTTATCACTCATCGACTTGCAAATAGGTATAACGTGTAGTCCAATTACACTCATCGACAAAGTTATTAATGTGTCGTTAATAACATTATCACTCATTAACGTTAATGAGTTATTAGTTATTAAGATCAAAGTTATTAACGTGTCATTAATAAAAAAAAATTTGCTTTATTATAACGTTAATGGGTATAACGTGTAATTCATTAACATTAAAGTTATTAACGTGTCGTTAATAGCTCGAAAAAGTTAATAACGTTATCACTCATTAACGTTATACCCATAATTTACACTCATCGAAAAAATTATTAATGTTAGAACAATCAAAAATAATATTAATACTAGTTTATTGACCATTAAAAAAATTACTAGTTTATGGGACATTTTAAAATAAAAATAATAATCCTAGCCCAAACCACTTTAAAATCTATTTTAAAGTTGCTTTGCCAATTATCCCACATTGCAAGTATGATAGTTATACATATTTTTAATTTTATTACAATATAATTACAAATTTATGTTTCTAAATTATATACTTTTGTAGATGTATTTATTTGTAAAGGTCACACCTTTGTTTATTATTAATAATTATACATTGATAACCAAATCTTGTATTTTATTTGTTTATTTATTTACATTATAAACTATATAATGAATTAGTATTATTTTTATTATAGCTGTAAATAATTTTTTAAAAAAAATTAAATGATATTATAAGACAAATTTGAAATTTATTCAAACAGGGAAAGAACATCTCAATATTCGCATATTGATGAAAAAAATGAAAGTTCATAATGTAGTACCCCCATTTTTTATTGGATTCTTAAAAAGCAATATTTATAATGATTTTTAATAAATTTTTTGGATTTTTTTTAAGGTCGAATCTGACTGATTCCCGATTTGAAACGCCGATTCACCGATTCGAATGGGTTTTTAGGGTGCCCGATCGGGGGCACCGATCCTTTTTTTAAACCACTGCTCTAGAGAGTGCAAGGATGTCTAGTCTGAGAGCGTCCCACCCTCCCAGAAAGATTAGGATAAGGCAACCAGAAACCATCCAAGCCAAGAGCCTTATCCTAACCAAGGTCAGTAATAGCCTTTTGAATCTCTTCCTAAGAAAACGGTCATTCGAACTACTCCATCGTATCTCTGGGAACAGTTACAAGCGCAATTGTGGACCTAGTCCTCACCTGGGCATGCCTGGAGAAAGGTCCACTGAAGTAGCTCAAATCCACAGAGGACACTTGCTGGGATCATCAAAGACTTGATCACATTCTCTAATCTGGACTGTGGTGTTGGCTCTTCTTCTACAATTTGCAATCTTGTGGAAAATACCCGTTTTACCATCTCCTTCATTAAGTTATTTTACTTGGGATACTTGGCACCAAAAGATCGTTTCTTATTAAGACCAAACAGAACTCGCCTTTAGCCTCAAGGCAACTTTCATCAACAAGTGAAGCAGTGAGTTTTCTATTTTTTTTTAAAAAAAATTTTACTATTGTTAGATATTTAGATTTAGGCTGGGTTTTAAGTCTTCTTTAGGGTTATTTTTGTAATTTTTTTGTTGTAGAGATTTGTGGGGTATAAAGGATATTTAATTTAAAATTTTAAGTTACTTGTTTGTTTTTGGGAAGTTTATCATGGATATGGGAGGAGGTGGTGCATGAGGATAAGGAGAAGTCAAGTTGGATATTTCCTAAATCTAAAGAGAGATTATTTGGCAGAAATTTTAGAGAGACTTACTTGAGAAGGAAAGAGAGATAGAGATAAGAAAAAACATGGGTGGGATTGAGGCGAGAAAAAATCGGAAAAGTAGGTAGGAGAGAGAGAGAGAGAGAAAGAGAGAGAGATTTGTGGGTTTGTTTTATTTTATTTATTATTTCTTTAATTGTATTTAAAGGAAAATACACCCTCTTTGTAAACAGAGTGATTGGTGATTGAGTAAAAAGTTTGATGTTGTAAAAAGATCTTCAAGTGGACTCCCTTGCAAACCTAGAAAGAGGGTATAATCTCTCAAAAAAAAAATTATTTTATTTTTATTTTCCTGTTACTATTTTTTCCCTGCATCAAAAAGATATCTCTGGATCCCTCCATGAGTACCAGCTCCTCAATGTCAATAAGGAGGAATCCTTCCCAATTTGAAACTTGCCACTCAAATCCCAATCTACCCTCTAGGAGCTGGAGCTTCTTGCATAGCCTGACCCAGCCACAAAACTCGAAAGTTGACCACCATTAGGGGACAAAGCTAAGTAGTTGCTTGTCGTCCAACCACAACATTTTAAATCTGAAAGGTTTTGCCACCCTGAATATGGATAATATCTAGCACACAAAGAGTGTAGTCAGATAGGTTTTGGAGGAGATCTTGAATGAACGACTGGGGAACTTTTCTTCCAATTATTGTTTATATTGTTCTTTACCCTACCTCTCTAACAGGTAAAAGAACCCCTCTTTTTGCCAAATCTATCTTGATAACAAATTACAGAACTAACCCTCATATTGATGAAATAGGCACTTTTCTAAAGGAAACATTAATGGAGCAATTCTAAGAAATACATTTTAGAACTTCAAATATTTCCTAAGGATGTATGGTGATTGAATATTCCTAGTGACTGCTGACTGTGGCAGGTTGATCCATATGTTCCCCAGTTCATGTTGAGTCAGGAGCATCTGTATGTTCTGCACAGGTATTCACAGGCTTTTTATCACGTCTATTGATAATTACCTAACGTCACCACTAAGTAGGATATTGATCATTAATAATACCAAGTGAAAAATAATTTCACAAAACCATATCTAAAATAAGATTCATCAACATGTTTGGTACAACAGAAAAGGTGTGCGAGGGATCACTTGCAACTTGAATATGGGTTTTTCTGCATCAAGTCATTAGCAGGCCAGATAGTATATTTTCTTGGGAATTCTATACAACTTGAATATGTAATGATCAATCTTTCAAATACAAAAAAGGATTCAACATTAAAAGCTTATCACTTTTCACATCAGCTGCAAGAGCTACTAAATAACCACTCCAGGACGTGCTAGTATGATAGAGTTGTTTTGGAGCATCAAGGCAGTGATTGAAAACAAACATAACTTGATTTTATCAATATTCTAAGTAGAAAATTCAAGAATAGAGTATCCTTGGTTGTTTCGTGACATATGATCATCATAGCTAAGTAAATGACTATTTTACATTAGGAAAAAGTTTATATAAGGTTGCAACCTTAAAATGTAGAATTAAGGTGCACCTCAAAAATCCATCATAATAGGCTGTTTTTATGTTGGAAAATCCTCTAATTGATCATCTCCACATCGAGATATACGAATATGAAAAGAAAAAAAGATTTCAAGTCTAAAAAATAGTGTATCGTGCAACACATTATCTGGACCGTCCATTTTTCATAAGTTTATAGATCTACTTAATTTGAACTATATTATATATTTAAAGTTTTATAATTAGATAAAAATAGATTTTCATGCTATCTTAAGAATTTTGGACACCAAAGTTACATTTATGAGAAAATTTAGAGGTGTACCTTAATTTTATTGTTTAAGGTTGCAACCTTCTGCAAATCACACCGTTACATTAAGCATGGCACTCAATGATTTAACATTCTGTGTAATACAGAACAATTCCTTCAATCTCACTAGGAGGCTGAGGAAGGAGTGACCAACTTTGCCGAAGAGGGTTGTAAAAAATCTATCATGTATTGTCCATGATTCCTGCGACTGAAGCATTGCATGTTTATAAAAGATGATACATCTAGAACTGGGTTCAGTTTTTGGAATCTAGGGCCATTGTGGATTGTTTCTCCATCATGTTTATTCATTTCTTTGCCTTCAATGAGCCTTAAGAGATTAGCATTTACATAGTTTAATGCTCATAATAAACTAATTAGCAACACCAAATAAGTTAAGAAAGAAAATAGAAATTTCAAGGAAACGTCAATGTCATTGAAGACGGGAGAGCCCCAAGAACAGAAATGCAGCAGTAATTTCCTAACCCCAACAGTATATCGACCTAATAAAGGTGAAGTAAAAATGCAAATTATGCGACAGAAAAATACCAATGGTCTTGCTTCCAAAGTTTGCTGAAGAGTGATGTTTTCGCTTAACAGCCTGGATATCTCATTGTCCTTTGCCTCAACCATGTTATTGGCCATATCGCAAAAGGAGTCATGCTCTCCCTACATGTTTAAATAAAAATCACATGAAACGACCTCTGCTCTGGAAGGTGTAGCATATTTCAATATGCACCCTTCAGGTTACCTTCAATTTCTTATATAGTTTCTTTAGTTCTTCAAGCTCCTCTTGTAGATCCTGTCTAGCTTCCATGTTGACTTGATCTTCCAATGCCTTGTATTTCACTTCAAAAGATATAATTGAAGAACATGCTTAATCTAACATTAACAAAAAAACATGAAAAACTCTATGGTCAACAAATGAGTACTCACATCGCCAAGTTTCTTCCACACTGTCAAGGTTGGTCTGCCATGACTCTTTTTCTACTAGATACTGAGATTTAGCAGTATCAAGCTTCCTGGCCATGTCTCTAATTCTCTGTTCAGCATCGATGAGAGCTATATTTCTAAAAATGAAAAATTAAAATAAGTGTTTTGAGAATATTGCTTTGCAGCTTGAAACGTACTCTAAACTGCACTAAAATACATCACGGCATTGAAAAGCTAACAAAATTGAGATTAACGAAAACATATATACTACAAAAAATGGAAAATAATCCATTTAAAACACAAGGCAGAATCATAAAGGGGAGAAGAGCTTGGAAACCAAGAAAAATTTTCAAAAGCACAAAAGACAGGAAGAAATAGGCTATAGCAAAAGTTTGTGTGTGTATGTATGTTTGCAGTGATACAACTGTCCATTTCAGTTTCGTTTACAACCCAAAGGAGTATTATGTAAGATTCGAGGGCAACATTGTACTTTGCAAGACAAAATATAGCCAAAATGATATTTGATATGGATGTCTGCTTCATTGGCATGGGTGCTTGATTCCACTTCTTCAAGATCCCTCTCTTGCTCTCTCCATTCTGCCCAGTTTTCCTGTCATACATTTCAATGAAGCCTCCCTTTCTCCATTCTGCCATGTTGTCTTGTCACGCTTTCAATTAAGCTAAGTCTTCACGCCCCTAAATGTCACATGAAACCAATCTAGGATTCAGGTTGAAATACCACATGAAACCAAACTAGGGTTTCAGTTTTGTATTGGCATGTGAAAACCTGTTTTGGGATATTGTGTGAGGATGATTTGTGCACAAATTACAAGTGGTTTCTTGTTGCCTACTAGCCATAATCAGTGTAAATTGAGTGCCCATGGGTCTTCCATCAAAATATGAAGTTTTTCAACCATCTTAAGTGCTGCTAAATATTTTTAAGCAATCTTTGGGTATCATTCCTACAATTTCAGCAGCTGCTCTCATTCAGTGTGCTTATCTTTGATGCATTATGACTGAAAAAACGTCATCTTCAGTTGTCTCTGAGACTACTAGTTCCTTGAACCAATTTGACGATTCTGGGATCCAGATTACTATTGAAAAGATTAAAAGTTAGTTACTCCAGGAATAAAATGGATTATGTTAAAACTAAAATCAAGCAACCAGATCAACTTGATTAACATATGCTGAGTGGAATATAACTAATTTAATCATGATGTGTTGGTCACATAATTTGATGGAAACCCATATCTTTAGTCCACTTTTTCTTGTAACAGCACAAGAGAATTGGACGCCTTCTTAGGACACCTCTAACCACCTTCTCTGGATGCCTCAGGTAATGCCTTTCTCATACATTTCTTCCTCACCAGACAATTAGACAGTAGAATCTGGTGCCTCATCTCATAGGGCAGGTAAACTACCAGATTCCTCATCCTTTTACAGTCTTTATTGTTGGAAATATAGCCTATCAAGGCCTAAATTCCAGTAGCCTCTCATTCAGTGGGAGCGATTGGGAGATTGAAATCTTGACGTCTTGCGAAATGGAGCCCAGATTCTTTTACGCCGAGTACGCATGAGGCATCGAGAGTTCACGTGTTGAGAAAGCAATTTCTCAAGGAGGTGTGAGGGACACCTCCTAGTCATGATTTTATAGGTTAGCCTCATATTTAGCTGCAATCGGTCAAGGCTTGGAGAATCCAAATGAGAAAAATAGAACCCGAGTACTCATTGAGTATTCGTCTTGTATGGAATGGTCAAGACTTATGGGACATCAGTCCGTATCCTGATACGAGACCAATGCATGGCATGTGCATTTTCATTTCGTTCGGGAAACCACTCTTACAAATGAATTATCCAAGTTTGGAAGAGGCAATGCACATGTGCTTTGAGAGGACCCCTGTAATTGAGTTGGATCATGTCCCACAGGGGTACACCTGTAATCCATTGAGAGCCGAATGATTGGAAGTTCTGGCTCAGTGGCTTTGATATGACCAATTATGTGTCCCTGCTTTAGACTATGGAACATAGGTCTATTGGGTCGATCTAAGACTCGGCGGAACATCATTCGAGACTAACCCAATGGAGTACTCTGATACTTATAGTTATTAGCCTGAGATCTCACTATACCTTTTGTCCGATTTTATAATTATGAGAAAAACCTAATAATTGCTCAAAAATACTTTAAATATTTATTGTAAAATTTTAGAGAATTTTTCAGAATTTTATTTGATAAAAAATGAGGGTTTTTATATTGTTTGGCTCAAATTCCACTTTAGTCCTGATCTGGTAGTGTCATGTGGCGTCCGAGTGGCCATAGGGCTGCCACATGGCACCCCACACCTCACTCTAGGGTCACCGCTCAGCTGGGCACTGATCCCTATGTGGGGGACTAGATTGGCATTTGGTTGCTTGTTTTATAAAAGGTTGTGTTATGGTGTCTTGTTATATATTTTATATAATGTTATAAATTAAGGCCCCCTTTTTATCACATGTTTTAATTAACTCACACATGGGTCATGCATGGCATGTGTGAAGTTTAATTAATTTATTTATTTGATATTAAAGAGAAAAAGCATTTTCAAATTTGAGTTGAAAAATATTTTCACACACATGTGTGAAAGGGACATTTTGGTTTGAAATTTTAGATCTACAAAGTGATTGACTTTGATAAAGTAGAATATCTACACGTGTGAGCTTTGCCAATTACTTCTTTGCCTTTTAGCCTTTGTGGTTATCTACTCTAATACATTATTACAAAAAAACTAAGGGTATTTTTGTAAGGCCATATTGGATACAATTGGAACAAAAACATGGGCCAAAGACAAAAATGGTAAAGTGGCATAACTTAGGGTTAGGGTGAGTGATAATGGTGTGAAATCCCATCCCTTCATCCTAGTGGTTGGATGGGAATGGTGGCTAGGTACATTAGCCTCTCATGTGCCTTTGGATTAGTGCATCAAGGGTGTTGATAAAATCCAAAGTTACACCCATGTTATAAAAGCACATCATGAGATCTCAAACCCTAACTATCTCAACTCTTGAACCACTTTTGGAAAATTGTTGCTACCCTCCTTCTTCTAAGGTTTTGTGAGAGAAAATTGAAGAGAGAGAGCTTTTAGAGTTCCATTAATGGTGATCTTGATGGTGGTCCTCCTTTCTTATGCTTAAGTCCATAGTGTGCATTTATCAAGGTAAACTCCATTGAATTTTCTTTTCTCAAAATATCATATCCATGGCATCTATAGTTGCTGGAGTTTTGAATTTAGAAAAGTTATCATCTTTTTCATTATGCTTATTCATAGTGTGGTATATCGTAATTATAGCCTATATGCATGAGAATCCATGATTATGCATAGTATCCATTAATTACTTTGCTTCAAACCCATCAAATAATTTAGTCACAGAGTGTCACTCCATTTTCAGAACTTTTTCATCACGTTTTTACCTATGGGGGTTCCTAATCTTTCCATACAAGACTGTTTTGGTGGTCCGAGGGACCACCGTGTGTAGTTTGGCCATAACACTATTGTTCTTTATCCGATTCGATTCAAACCTTTTTCATTCTGTTTTGGATGATAATGCCAGTGTGTTGAGATCTTAAGAAGTGATTTTAAGGTGTGTAACTTCTTCCCATTTGTATTAGACACTCTTGTGAGATTAAACCACTTTTGTACAATCTGAAAGGACAAAATTAAGTTCTTATAGGGCCGGATTGCGTGGCCCCGGCACAAGAGGTTCGAAACATGGCTTCCCAATTTTACTTTGGCATTCTAATTCCCTGTTTAGTTGATTTTATTCTTTAGAATTTTGTTTAGATTAGTTGCATGATGTATTGAAGCTTTGAGACATAGTTTATGTAATTTGTGCTATGAAAATGTAATTCATAAGCTAGTCTTGCTTTACATGTAATTGCCCTAAAAGGAGTTGGTATTTGAGTTTATTTACAGTGGTTATACAAGGCTAGATATGGTTGTAATTGTTATATAAAAAGATTGTAACTTATTCACTTAGCTTGGTTTTTTGCAAGTGGCTTGTTGAAGGTGTCCATTTTGCCTTGTTTTTCGGCTGGGTCTTCCATCTGGGAAAGTGATTTGTCATCCTCTTCCTTAAATTTACAAAACTTAATTTCGTCAATGTTGAATCTGTCATTTCTCTAGATTGAGTTGTTTTCCTTTTGAAAATAATAAAATGCCTTGTAACCAATCCTTTGAATTAATACACTTTATTGTGAGGTGAGTAGCCCAAATTGTTTCCCAAGCTGGTTATAAGTACTTTGTTTCCTTTATAGATGATTGCATTTGTTTTGTTTAGATCCTCTTTTAAAATTTCTCTTTAAAATATTCAGATGAATATTCCATGTTATTTTGCAATTTTAGAAAATGCTCATTACTCAGTATGATTTGAAACTTAAACTTTTCATATCAAATAATGGCACACAATTTTAAAAAAGAACATGATATTGTATTTCCAAGAGAATTTGCGTAATTCATCAGATTTCTTATCTAGCAACTCCACAACAAAATGGAGTGTATAACAAAAGAATAGACATCTTCCGATGTATTAGGTTACTCCTGTTCATTATACATGTTCCAAAGTCTTTCTGAGTTTATGCCATCTCCATTGCCGCCTCCCTAATAAACAGATTATCATCTCATATACTTAATTTTATGCCACCTATTGCAAACAAGCTGCCAATGATGGTCTATTCATCTCAGGGTCTTTGGTAGCACATGTTGTCCATTTACCTAAAGTAGCTGAGATGCGTTTAATCCTCGATCTGTTAAATGCTACTTTCTGGGCTCTTAATATACTATTGATGAATCATCATCAAGTTTGTTTAAGGGGGAGCAATCATCTATTGGTGATATATCTCCTCTACCCATCATTCCTTTTGTCTCATTTTCCCAGTAACCCATTTTCTGCCTGAAGTACAGTAACTTTACTAGTTTCTGGTCGTGTCACACTACTCATATATTCATGGAGACAACTGGTAAATCTTTCAAGTCCAACCAGAGTGTCCTAGAAATAAGCTTCACATTGCCCTTAGGAAAGAACCTCATTATTTTTCTTCTTTTCAAAGTTAGGAAGGAGACCTTATGTTACTCATCCCATTGAGTATTTTGTATTTTACCCTGCTTTTTGACCTTTCTATCGAACTGTTCTTGCCTCTGTTCACTCTTGCTCAGAATCTGAAATTTTCAAAAAGGCAATAACTTATTAGAAATGGACAGAACCAATGGAGGAAATAAGGGCTTTCGAACATAATAAGACATGGAACCCAGTTAATTACCTGAACACGAAGAAGACTGTAGGATGTTGCTGAGTATCCTCATCATCAGAGCCTTTTTCCCAGCTATTTGGGATCGGCTCCATTCTGCTCTATCAAAGGCCTTACTCTCAGTGAGGCCATAAGTCCCATATCTTTTCTCACTATTTTCAACCATGTCCTTTTGGGCCTACCCCTTGCCCTTTTTGAGCCTACCCCACCCTTTTTTAGCCTTGTACATAAACCAACTTACACCTCCTAATAAGTGTTGTACTGAGCCTACTGCACATGGCTTGCCCACTTAAGTCTATTTTTTCTTATCTTATCGTCTATTGGAGTTATGCCTAAGTTCTCTCGATGTATTCATTTCGAATTATATCCCTTCTTGTCTTGCCACTCATCCATCTCAACAACCTCATCTTAGCTACACTTATTCTATAGGTATGTTGTTTATTGACTACCCAACATTCTGTCCCATAAATGAAAGTTGGTCTAAAAGCTATCCTATAGAAACTTCCTCTGGTATGCGGCAATCATATAAAACTCCGGTTGCACATCTCCCCTTCGTCCACCCAGCTCTAATTCTATGTACAACATCTTCCTCAATCCCTCCATTTTCTTGGATTATCGACCCAAGATATTAAAAATGTACTCTTTTTGGTATTTCTTAGCTGTCAATCTTAAGTCTTAACTACTTTCTCATCTCTACTCCTATTATTTCTAAACTTGCATTCAATATACTCTATCTTAGTCCGGCTAATTTTAAAACTTTTAAATTCTAGAGCATCCCTCCAAAGTTCTAACTTTGTATTGACGATGCTTCGGTCTCATCGATCAAAACTAGAGGATGTCTCTGGGTATACAACTTAAAATATAAAACTAACAATAGCATGAATGCATAGAACTTGAGTCGCCAAGAACTTAACTCAAACATATGCTACAGATAACAAAGAAATCTTTGCACTAATGGTCAAATTGGGATCAGTTCGAGTTTTATAGCAGCCAACAAGAATTGACCTGTCTACCATATTTGATGTGAAGAATTCCTTCTCCATGGAAAAATGGAAGAGGAAGTATACATGAAGTGTCATCCAAACCCAAGAAACTGTAGCTACCAAAGCTCATTTGTCATTTGCATAAGGCCTTATATGACCTGAAGCAATCTCTCAAGAATGGTTCATCTGGTTCAGCAAAGCAGTAAAGTCGATTGGTTTCCGACGTAGTGCAGCAAACTCTGCTTGTTTATTCACCATGTCAGAGGGACCACTATTATCCTTGTTTATAAAGATGATATAGTGGCGGCTGGCGATAAATCACGAGGGATGGCCACATTAAAGGCTTATTCAGTACAACTCGATTTTGAATATCAGTGTCCATTCGAGTATTTATTGGGATTTGAAGTTGCTCAATCAAATAAATGGATCTCATATCATCAAGAAAATATGTCCTTGATCTTCACAAAGAGATAATACAGTTAGCCACACAACCACCGAAAACACCAGCACGTGCAAACTCCAAACCAAATCTCACTACCCCTCAAGACGATATTAGACTCTATTAGAGAGTGATAAGAGACTGATCTATCTCACTGTTACTCAACCACAAATCATGTTTTGTTGTTAGCGTGGCTCATGCTTGCTCCTTGGTCTACGCATCTAGATGTTGTCACTAAAAATTTTTAATATTTAAAATCCACAATCGGCCATGGTCTCTTGTTTTGCAGTAACTCCAATCCTGAGATCGTGAGTTATAATGATGCAGACTGGGCTGAATGTCATGTCCATCATGACTGCAACATATCATATTGGACTTTCATTGCAGTAAACTTGGTAAAATGGAAAAGCAAAAAATAAAATGTTGTTGCTAGTTCTATTGCTGAAGCAGAATTTCAATCCATCGCTTCTACCATGTGCGAGATAATCTAGCTGCATTCTCTGCTGCTATAAACAAACCCAAGAATCCAGTAAGACAAGGAAGCAGAAAATGTTACTGAAGTCAATATGCTGCTGTACTCGATAAAAGGTGTCAGGTGAAGTCATTTACACCCCACAGGTCTGATTTAAAGATCAGCAAGCAGATTTCTTCACCAAAACTGTATCCTGAGGATGACTACACATAAATACAGTCGAATTGGGTTTGCATGATGCCCATTCACCAACTTGAGGGGGAGTGTAAATGCTTTATCTGCATGTTTATAGGAATATAACCTATGAAAACTGGAGACAGGGTCCGAGGGTCTGACCACGTGTCAACATTTGAGTGGCACAGGTACTACAGCGTGTCTACTATTTTGGACATGTTTTATTTTTAGAATATTGCATTTCTTTGTATAGAAATGCCATTCTTCAATGAAAAATATTTTATTTTGAAAATAAATAAAAAACAAAAATTTATCCATGTTTAAGAAATTTTTTAAATGCCCGTTTATCGTAAAATATTTTTTCATTTTTTATTTTCAAAATATGAAAAAATTGAACACAGAAAATTATCCATGATAACGTAAGTCAATTTTGAAATGCCCAATTTACAAAAGTCAATTTTAAAAAATTGTCCATGTTTTCAAAAGTCAATTTTAAAAAATTGTCCATGTTTTCAAAAGTCAATTTTGAGAATCCTCTTTTTATTATTTTCAAAATAAAAAAATAGTTTAGAATAAAAAATAAAAATTATTTTGTTTTCTTACCAAGAGTTTACATAAGTCGCTATTCCTATAAATAAAAGGTACTAATAAAGCTTCTAGAGTTTCTTTCTCTCCAAGTCATGAATCTCCATCTCGCTGTTAATCTTCAACTCACCTCTTATATGAACTACACAAGTTTCAATTTATGTATGTATAGATATGTGCATACACATATACTGTACAGATGAGTCATGTCTAAATGACATTTTTGGGATTCACGTTTCTGACACTCGCATCCATATCACAAATAGATACCCTTGTCCGTCTCTCTGTAACATAGGATATAACTTTCCTTTTCTGTTTTGTGTAAAACCCCCAGCAGTATTGTCCTTTTCTGCATGTAAATATCAGGGGTACTTTGCAAGACAATATATAACCTACATGAGATTGACATGTCGGCTTCAACTTCTTCAACATCATCTCTCTCTCACTCTCTAGCTCTTGGTGAGAGCTTATGGCGGCTTAAAGAGGAAGGCCAGAACAAGTATTTCTTTCATTCTTTCACATGATTGCTTATTGAAATAGGAGAAACAATCCTGTCAACTTCTAGGGATGCTAGTGAAATTATCATATCTTCGGTTGAACTTTTCGAGAGATTATAGGTGCTAAACCACCTTTAATTGAGACCTGAAAAGCTTGGACCCCAGAAGTGAGATCTGACTTGCAAGAGCTCTGCACTGAAGGAGGTCAAAGAAGTTCTTGTGCTAATGGCAAAGCAATAAGCACCAAGCACGTATGCGTTTCTAAGTATAGAACATGACATGTGCAAGAGACAGGCAGTCAAACGATTTCAAGCTATTGCATACAGATTTTTAAGACATCCTATTGCAAATAAACAAACTGAAACTCCATAGATGTCTTTGATGGTATATGACTAAGAATGTTATCCCAATGGGCATCAACACAACATGATAACAAGTTCATCGAAGATGCACAAAAGAAGTACCTAGTATTCCAATCTAAGCAGTTAAATTAAACAGCATCCTAAACCAATCCCAAGTAAAATATTTCACCTAGCAGCAAGTTCATTCTCATGGTTAATCATAGCATCCTGAAGAGCTTGAAGGGCCTTATCCCTTTCTGATGTTGCAAGTTCCACCTCTCGTTTAGCTTCCTACAAAACAACAAAAATAAGGATAAAGGAGAACCAACTTTCAAGTTGTCAGAAATGTTTACAAAATTTATTGCCACATATAAATGCAAATATACCTTTATGGCAGCCTCTTGGGCTTTCATTAGATTTGTGTCCTTAGCTGCAGATAACTCCGCATCTTTCTTTTGAAGAAGGGCATGTGCACGAGCCTTGTAAGATATGAATTCCTTTTCGAGATGGTTGATCTGAAAACAAAAAATACCATAATGAAAAGAAGTTCCCATCCTAAGACCAAACTTAACCACACCTGAACCAACACCCAAAATTCAATAATTAGGTTAAACAAGAGTAGATTAAAGTAAAATAAAAATCCCAAGAGCAAGTCCAGAACTCCAATCTACGTGACAAATAACAAAAAGTAAACTAGACAGATGGATGTGAAACGCATGTAACAAAAAAAGTGAGAATACTCCACTCAACCGAACATGTACTAGCGATTCTGAGTTAGAATCTTCAGATTATATGCCTCTAGCTAGAAAAGGAAGATCTCCACAACTTGGCCATGCTCAAAATGTCTTTAATCCAATAAAAATGAAGGTAAATGGTCAGGGCCCCTGAATATGATTTGAAGTTCGAGCCAACAAACAAATTTAAAGGTATTCCCCTCAAATAATTGAAGGTGCTAAAAAACAGGAGTTGAAGACCAGAAACAGTCTGTGTAACTCTAGAGGATCAACTTAGCTCAACATGGCGCCCTGCTCACAGAAAAAAATACTTTTTTATGCCAGATTCAGCAATACACTAGTGATAGCTCATTTTACAATCTAAATACTATAGATAAAACAATTAAACCAAAACAATTCCCTAAGTACCAAAAAGAAGAAATATCATTCGAACTATGATCCTCATGTGTCACAAGTTTCTTAGAAAACTAATTCTGGTTCTCATAACAATCATACACTAGACAAGTTGGCAGCTGGAAAATGAAACCGAAGAATTTCATATAGAAGCTGAGCGTATCATTTGCAAGTATAGAGGCTGTCAGCAGGATATGGAGATGCAGGTAAAGGGGCTCCATATTCCTTTTTATATACACATCTCTTATACCGTAAATAGACGCAATGTTATTTGGCATAACATAGTAGACAAAATGGAAATACAGGTAAAGGGCCTCAGCATCTCGTTTTGTATACATATCTTCCATATTTCCCATATTGTAGATATCCAAAATGTCCTTTGGTATAATACCTCATCTCTGGCAGCTGCAAGTTCGGCCTCTCTTGAGCTTACAAGTTGATTTTGAACAGCCAACTTTAGTTCCAACTGACCTACATATGGAGGCCACGTGAAATGCAATAACTTCAAGATTTTGTTCATTGTTGCAAAATAGAGAAGGATGTATACTTCTTATCTTGGCTGCTTCAATTTCAGAGTTCAAATAGGCAGCCTCAGATGCCTCCAACTTGGTTTTGAGGGCCTGCAGAGCATTTTCCCAGCTTTCTTTCTCTTTCTCCTGAATGAAAGATAGTCATGAATAGATAGCAAAGACAATACCCATTCTATCTTGTATGGTGTAATGCTTGCAACAAGCCTATTAGAAAATGATGTTCGCATTGAAATAATAATCTGCGGCATATATAGAAGGGGTTTCAAATATCAACTCATCACAAAGACACAAACACCTGAGAAGGTGACGCAGATCAAAATCAGATGGATTCAGTATTTTTCATTCTTACTCAAATTTTGGAGGCTTAATTATTTTTTATTTTATTATGAGTATTTTTTTTCTCTCTACAAAGTAACTTTCTTTTTCATTAACAAAAATCAATCCTTACCCCTTTTATTCCCTTCTAAGCTTCCTAAAAAAAAATCTTCCCTTCCAAAAACGTAGTCCCTCCTTTCCTAATTGATGGCTTTACATCCTCATTCCCTTAGCCAAGATAACAATTAATTCAAAATAAATAAATAAAACGTATTTCCTAAAAGACTAAAGATAACCTTCCTTTCCTATAAGCACTACTCTCATCCTTTCTTTCCATGTAAAAGATAAAAGATAACTACCTTACTATCTTTAAAGATAAGCTTAAGGAACAAAATTAAGTTTCCTACAAACAAAAGGTCAAACGTAACCCTTATTTTTTGGCTAAACCTAAGACAAGCTTTCCGTTAAAAAAAACAATATGTAACTCTAACCCTATGCAATAATTTTCAAAAAATAACCGTAGTAAAAAAATAAAATATATATTCATAATTAAATAAAAATGTAATTAAGCCTACAAAATTTGAGAAGAATGAAAGATACTGAATCCACTATTTTGATATGCATCAGAAGTTCACCAATATTATCACTGCAATGATGATACCAATCATATGCAACATGATTTGCATAGCTGTGGACTACTTAAAAGTAATAATAATCTGAGGAAGGAGGCTTTTTTCTTTTTTTTTATGAATCAGAGGAAAAGTTTAAACAAAATTTCAAAGGAAAGAAAGAATAAACGTTTATGCTTTGAAGAAATGAGGCTAGCACATACTAGTATGGAATTTATTTCTCAGTGAAATTCAAGTTGGGTCAAGGGATGGCCATGCGTTACAATGCATATGATATGACCTTTTTTCCAATCAACAATAATTAGCATGAAAAATCAATACTGGAAAAAGCAAGTTTGCATGATGTAACAAACGCAGACAGAGTTAGTCTTGGACTATTTTGATGACTCAGTCCTTTTCAGCATCTTTCTCTAAGGAAAGCCTCCCTAGGTTTCGTCTGTCTCATTCAATAATTGAGGCCAAACAGTCTCTCTTCTTTCTTTAAATTTCTCCTAACATATTTGATGATATGGATCATAGCACTTCTTACTGAAACGCTTCCTGTCCTGCTTTCTCTCATATGCACACTCTCTCCTTCGTTTGGCTACTTTTACCCAAAGTTGACTGCCCAAATACAACATATGCTTTAGTTAACATGCGGATGGTACCGAATAACACCTGTCAATTGTGTGGGTGAAAACTGGTATCTTCTGTTCTTATCTAACTCACAAAGTGGGGGTGTTTCGTCAGTGCATGCACACCTACTTGGGTTGTTTTCTGACAGCCAAAGTTAGGCTAAAAACACAAATTTAATTCACCACAATGACACCACAAGAGAGCCCAACCATGGTTTGGGGACCGAGATGATGCCTTAGCAGCTCAATAAATTCACTTTAATGCTTGATCTTTCAAAAGATGTACAATTTGATGGAACTCCGACCAAAGTACCAAACCAATGCAAAGTTTTCCTTTCTTTTGGTGAAGAAAGAATCCTGGGACGGTTTTATCAACCATTGTGACTAGTGCTCAGAGAAGACCATCAAATGTGGATTCCGGTGACTATTGTAATCAATATCAGAACCAGTTACTTATATGACCAGAAATTTGATCATCCTGCATGATTAGACCAACTGTGACTCTATTATTACATGAACTAGGATCCAGCATTACTGAAGTATGAAACACTGCTACAGATAGCTCTATAACGCATAGGTGCCAATTATTCTAAACATGAAGTAACTGAGAACTACAAAGGTGGATGCATACGACACCGAAAATTACACAATAATTAGATGCATCTTTCCGTGACTTGGTCGAGTCCACTCAGACCTAGCTGAGTAACTTGGCCTTGCCTAGTGGCGAGGCAGTTTGGGGCAAGTTGGGTCCCCAATTCCCCCTACAAAAACCCCTAAAAATTTAAAACAGAAAAGATTAAAAAAAAAAATCAAAATGAAAAATATATTGCTTAGAAATATCTTTTAGATGATTTTGATAGTTTTTAGGATGATTTCGGATCTTTCACATTTTTCCTTTTCTTAAAATTTTCTGAAATATATGAGGTACAAATCAAATATTTTAGTAGGCCATATTATATAGATTTTTCCATCCTCTCTAGCCTTCTAATATTTCTAGTAACTCTAAATATTTTTCCTTATTTTTTATTGTTTTTTAGAAATTTTTTACTTTTTGGTCTGCATAACTCGACCAAGGGCCAAATATCTTGGCCGACGTGTTTTCCTAAACACTGATTAGATGTTCCGACCTTTCGGCACATTCATTACAGGATCAAATAGCAAGAACTATCACTCTTCAAATAGAAGCATGAAACTCTAAATCACAGGATAAAATGGTGTTGTAACTCATACATGTTCACGTTTGAGATGCATAACCTCTCCTTTGGCTGCCTCCACTGCAGCTCCTAGTCTTGCTGCTTTACCACTGGATGCTGCTTCTAGCTCTGCAATCCTCGATTCCTTTTCAGCAATTAGCACCTATTAAGGATAACGCCACATCAATGGCATTAAAATTTATTGCAGATGTCAGGAAAAATAGAAATATTACGTGAATGCTCATAAACAAATTAGATATCCACAACTGAGAATATTGGCAAGCGTGATAATGGAGAGTCTTATTGCCATGATCATTATACATTGATTGGACAATAAAGAAAATAAACTATTCCAGAAAAGAATATACTAATGAAGGACAGAAAGAACCATCTCTGTGATTAGTCTTAAAAAGAGTTTTGAAAATAAAACTTCCTGCAGTGTTTGTCTTTTATTATTTCACCTGCGATCTCTTTTCAGCAATCTGTAATGTGGTAATCCATTAAATATATCAAGAACATAAGAGAGGTTAATGTGATTGCCAAGGATGATGAGAGCCTATAACAAAACTTCCTGTAGTGTTTGTCTTTTATAATTTCACCCATAATCTTTTTTCAGCAATCTGTAATGTGGTAATCCATATCAAGAACACAGAGAGGTTAATGTGATTGCCAAGGATGATGAGAGCTTAATATTATTGCAAATTGTTGAATTCTGTGTGGAAAAATGTTTTGTAAATAGGCAAGAGTTGGGTAAAACAAGTCATCTTCACATGGAAAGTTAGTAGTCCAGAACGGAATAGCCAAGGGCCAGCTTGGTCATATGCACAACGGAAAAGCATTTATAGCCACTTTCATTCTACAATAATTGAGTAAAGATTGCAACATAATGTATGCCTAATGACATCAAAGTAGAGGTATCTATCATACTCTTACATTTTATAATGATCGTTCACTACCACTTAGACTTTCTTTCTCTAAGAAAACATTTGACTTACATTTTGCAGAAGTTTTTGTTTACATTGTTACGAAAAGAATGGCATCCCACATCCCAGGTGCTCTACATAGACAAGATATCAAAAAATGGGGTTTGTACATTCACCGCCAACACAAAGAAAGTTGGGGTCTCGTGCTCATAAAGGTAAGAGTCAAAAGTGATGGGCTGTACCGTCCCACAGCTGACAAAAAAGGTGGAAGCATGCACTACCACTCCAGGCGTAGGTGATCCCCATGAGTCCTCCTGTGATGCAAATACTTCATGAGAGAGTCAGCAGTCCAGTTGCCCACCCTCCAGAAGTGACAGGTTGGATTTGGACCGTCCATCTGGACATACCAAGTTAGGTCCTATCAAGGTTCTAGATTGGAGCTCCATGTGGCTTGCATCTGTGATTAGTTGATGGGACCCCTTCTTTTCGGGATGGCCACGTGTGCATTTGGGGGCAACACTCCTAGGGTGAATCCAAGTCAAGATCCTGTGGGGAGTCACAAGTAGATGGCACATTAATTTTGAGCAAGGGAGAAGAATGGAAGAATGGCAGAGCAGCCAGGGGTTGGGGACAGGGGGGGAGGGGCGCGCACGCAATGTTTACAGAATGCCCTCACTAGCAAACCAGAGGAGCTTGAACTGTCAAGGGCTAGTTCCAGTCAATCCCCTCTGTCAGCACAATTATGACTATCCCCTGGACTGGGCCCCAAAAGCGATGAGCTGCAATACAAGTGGCAGGCTAGTTCTCTGAGACTTGGAATAAGGGCCGTTGGATGAAGGCCCTTTGCGGCTATGGACAGCATGGGCAATCAACTGGGGTGATATGCGTCAATAGACTTAGGGGAATGATGAGGCAATGAGGGAGGGGGCCTACGAGGGAGGTAAGTTGGATGGGAGTAGATTGGGTCACAAAAAATTGAGGCGCCATTCACAAGGCTAGGACGAGGGGAGGGGTTTGTGAAGGGACTGCCAGGTGTCAGCTCATTCACTGAGCTAGCAGTATGCTTGGTGATGCAGGACATCCTGTTGACTTGGACCCCTACCGGCTCAGACCCTGCAGAAATTTACTGCTGTCAGTGGGGCCGGAAGGGGTGAATGTCTAGAAGAGCAGAGAGTGGGATCCAATTAGCAGCAGCATCAGTCGAGTTAGGTTCAGCCTTCTAGGGGTTCGAGAGAGCCTACATGGATAAGGTGAAGCAGTGGTTTAAAAAACGGATCGGTGCCTCGTATCGAGCACCCCAAAAACCCATCCGGATTGGTGAATCGACGATCTGGATCGAGAATCGGCCGAATCGGTCAGATTAAGCTTTAAATAAAATCCATTATAAATGTTGTTTTTTAGGATTCCAATAAGAAATGAGGGAACTACATTATTAACTTTCATTTTTTTCATCAATATGCGAATATTGAGATGTTTTTTCCCTGTATGAATTTATGTTAACCATTAAATTTACATCACACAAAAGAAAAATCATGAATTATCATGGATGAAATATATAATCATACATGGACTACAATAAATAATGGATTAAATGAAAAAATCGCCACAAAAAACGGCCACCAAAATCAATGGAAAAATGGCCACCACTAACTTACTATAATCTTATATACTGAAATTGAAATTGTTAGTTTACATTTTATAATTATTTTACTATACAAATAATAACAAATCCAAAATATCTTATAAAATCATCTGATTTAAAGTATATTATTGACAATTGTAAAGAAAAATAGCAAATTACATAATTTATAATGCAAATAAATTAATAAATAAAATATAAGATTTTGTTATCAATGTAGAAATTATTAGAATACATACCAATTCTTGAAATAACACTTTAATTTTTCAAAAATCTAATTTTTTAGGTTTCAAAAATCAATTTCTTTTAGGTTTCTGGAATAATCACAGCTCAAATGCGTGCTTGAAAAGCATGATACTTGTTGTATTACTCTTTATTTATTTATTGACAATAAATACTTGTTATATTACCTTTTATTTATTTTTTGAACAAGAAAAATAAGAAAATGGTACTGCTCAGGTAACGTTTATTTTTTTGTCAAGGTAACTTTTATTTTTTTGTCATAACTTTTATTTTTTTGTCAAGGAAATTTTTTTTTGTCAAGGTAACTTTTATTTTTTTGGTCAATGTAACTTTTATTTTTTTGTCAAGATAACTTTTATTTTATTTTTTTGATAAAAAATTATTTTTTTGACAAAAAATCATTTTTTTTGTCAAGATAACATTTATTTATTGTCATAACTTTTATTTTTTTGTCAGGGAAACTTTTATTTTTATTTTTTGACAAAAAATTATTTTTTGTCAAGGTAGTTTTTATTTTTTTTGTCAAGGTAAAGTTTATTTTTTTTATCATAACTTTTATTTTTTTGTCAATGTAACTTTTATTTTTTTTTTTGACAAAAAATTATTTTTTTGTCAAGATAACTTTTACTTTTTTGTCATAACCAGTGTTTTAAAAAAAGACGAGTCGCAACGGACTCGCCCGAGTTGACACGGGAATTGACCACCCCATGTCGATTCCAGTGAAATGCACAGCATCGCCCGGTTCTTGATAAGAACCGGCAATACAGACGGGACAGGACCTTTATGATTGGGAATTCAGTAACGCCACCTGCGGGAAGGGAAAAACATCCTCCCATAGAGGTGGCGTTACCCGGGGATGAAAACGCAGATAGAATGCCCGACAGTAAACCGCCCGTGTCGCTATAATAAACCCAAATCGCCACAGTAAAACCCAACAGTATCGCTACAGTATTCAAAATACTCTTTGTGGGCCCCCCCATCGTACACGCACAACCGACTTCTACCGTGCTCGACTAAAGAACACGTTCGAGTGACGTTGGGATTGCCTTTTATAATGGCATTTAGTCTCCAAAGTCTTCAATGTGGGACTTTAGTTTTAATTTTCAAACCACCGCTAGTAGCAACGAGGTGGCATTTTGTTCGTGCAAATTCCTCCGTAATGAAGTTGTGCTCCTGTGGGAGCATAATGGTCATTTGCTCCCTCATGCAAATCTTAAGCCTATATTCTTAAGACTTTGGCGATGTACCTTCTTGAGCAAACATGAACATTAAAAAATATGTTTTTCAAGTCCAATGCATTACGTGCTTGAATGTCCAATTTTTAGAGAACCCAAATTTTTTTTGTTTCAAAATAATCATCTAGTTATTATTAATTAGATCCCAAAAATCAAATAAAAAATATCCTAGTGGCATTAATCATTGATTATTTTCCACCATCTTTTTATTTTTTTATCAAAAAATAAATAAAAGTTACCTTAACAAAATAATAAAAGTTATGGCAAAAAAAATAAAAGTTACATTGACAGAAAAATAAAAGTTATAACAAAAAAATAAAAATTACCTTGACAAAAAAATAAATATTTGTCAAAAAAATAGAAGTTACCTTGACAAAAAAAATAAAAGTTATGACAAAAAAATAAAAGTTACCTTGACAAAAAAATAATTTTTTGTCGATAAAAATAGAATTTACCTTGACAAAAAAATAAAGTCATGACAAAAAAATAAAATTTACCTTCACAAAAAAATAAAAGTTACGACAGAAAAATAAAAACTACCATGACAAAAAAATATTTTTTGTCAAAATTAAACTGTAATTTCGTAAATTAGTATGCATACTAATAATTTCTACATTGATAACCAAATCTTATATTTTATTTATTAATTTATTTACATTTTAAATTATGTAATTTACTATCTTTTATTTTATTTATTAATTTATTTGCATTATAAATTATGTAATTTACTATTTTTTCTTACAATTGTCAATAATATACTTTAAATTAGATGATATTATAAGATATTTTGGATTTGTTATTATTTGTATAGTAAAATAATTATAAAATGTAAACCAACTCAATTTCAGTATATAAGATTATAGTTAGTTAGTGATGGCCATTTTTTCATCGATTTTGGTGGCCATTTTTTGTTGCTTTTTTTTTTATCGATTTAATCCATTCTTTACTATAGTCCATGTATGATTATATATTTCATCTATGATAATTCTATGATTTTTTTTTTATGTGATGTAAATTTCATGGTAACATAAGTTCATATAAGGAATAAACATTTCAATATTCGCATATTGATGAAAAAAATGAAAGTTAATAATGTAGTACCCCCATTTCTTATTGGATTCCT